CTGTTCTTCTCAACAAAAAAAAAAGGCTATCCATTTCTGTCTAGTTGACTGTTTACCAATGAAATGGAGGATACAGATTTTAGAAGCTTTAGAGATATATAGCTTTGAGCAGAAAATATTTTTTTAATTTTTTTTTTTTCACTCTGACATCATACCCACAGGTGTCTGGTTAAGCATTTGTTGCACAAATATATTCCAGGACCTTTCCTACTACTATTACTATGCTACCAGGCTGGAATCAAAGGAGTGACTGAGTTCTTGAATCTTCCGTGTGTCAAAGTCATCAGAAAATTGTGCTTGTAATGAAATCCCCTAAGCACTACAATTTCTGTGTTTCAGGGTTTGTAAAACCCAGGGAGTAGTAATCAGGTGCAGGTAGATGTATGCACGCTCCTTCACATGCATTTACTTAAAAGAAAAAAGAACTTTTGAAGTAAGATCTGTTGGTACCATCATCAGAGAATGAGAGACAACAGCACAGAAAACAACATTAAAATGATTTCAAAAACTTCTGAGTGGGAGAAGGTGCAGTCTCTTAGGAACTGTGATTGTGTGCAGCTATTGCAGGGAATTCTGCAAATTTCATTTCACTATGAGTACCATGAAAAATCAGAATTAAAAAAAAATAGGGTAGGTATTTTGTTTTATTTTAAATGTTGCTTACCAAAAGCTAATGGAGAAAGAGAAGCATCATTGCATTTCATTAGGTCAGTACTCCATGCTGTGGTTGCACACTGCATATTTTTGCTCAACAATAGGAATGTCTGCAGAGCCTCATTGTTGCCTCGGCGGCACTGAACTCTCTTGGGCTCACCTTGAAGTGCCAAAGGCACCTATGTGTGTCCATTAACAAGGTAGGGAATGCCACCTATTCTCAGAACTATTCTACTGGAAAACTGACAACTAGAGGCTTATGAAATGCTTACGTCAAGCAGATTTAATTCCACCAAAACTATAAAATAGAATCCTTGAAAAGTCAACTCTGATGACAAAGGCTGATATTACAAATGCACAGTTGTGATTTCTACATCACACAGTCAAGAAGAAACAAGAAGATGAGGAGAGCACTTAGATTTGTAATTTCTTCTATTCTTGCGTGTATGCATCATTTCTATGTGAGTTGGCTGCCATCAGCACTCCTTTCAGATGGAAAGTGTTTGAGCCACTTCACACCTGTCTTTCAGCATTGATGAGTGGCTCTGGCCACTCATCCCAACAAACTGGCTCAAAGACGTAATCACAAGGTTGGCCTTGTGATTGCTGGCAGGGATGCTTTTTGCTGGACTTCTTCAACGGCGTCCCCTCTCACCTTCTAGTCGTCATTCCTCAGTGAGAATGCCATAAAATCATAATAACTACTTGCAACACCAGAAGTAACATGCAGGATGAGGCAACTTATCACGAGTGGTATTCATTGCTGTAAGGTTCCCATGAAGGATAAATGTACTAATGAGCTCGAGGAGGGACTATAAAGCTCATGGAGAATGGTTCTTTAGATGTGGCTTCCTGCTTAGGATACTGAGAAATGGCTGGTAGCTGGAAGGCAGACAGGGGAGGAGATCTATATCCCCATACCCAATACTTATACTCCAACCATGGCCACTCTACAGATTAAGATATTGGGCCAGTAGACTTTTGAACTCCCCCAGGCAAGTTTTTTTTCACTTGTTCTGCCATGTCAAGGGAAAAAGCATTTGAGCCACATACTGCTGGCACCAAAACCTCTCTAGCACTTGGAGAGAAAGCTCCAGAGAACAACAACAAAAACATGCATCTTATCTGTCATTTTAAAAATTGTGTCACACAGACTGAAGAGGTTCTGTCAGACCTGCTGCACGGACTGACCAGTGAAACATTCTCTCACTGGCAGTTAAAGCAGCTTCACCTGTCTGCAGTGTCAAGCTGACACTTTGCCCAGGCCCAGAGAAAAAAGCCCCAACCCTCTCCTGTATGACTAATGAAACCACTTCCTTAGCACTTTTTCCCCCCAGGACAAATCTTGCCTGCACAATCCCACTTACCAGCTGCTCATCTCAGAGGACCAGGGCACACACTGACTTTTTACATAAAAGCTTTAAAATTTAAATTTTCATTGTTTTATACTGTGGGCTAACAATAGTTTATTTTCAGTAAACATTAGTTGCTGAGCTTCTCAAAGAGCTGAAATACCCCGAATTTGTATTCTCCAGATGAGAAAAGATTTTAGTAGAAGGAATACAAGATTTCGTAACAACTGTCTTTTCTGCAAATCACCTTACAAAAGTTGTCAAGCAACACATGCCTTTAACAGCAAACTATATCATCTGCTTGTGCTTCTCCAGAGTGAGATGTAGAGGTGGAGTAAGATACAGGAAGGGTGAGAAATGCTGAGGATGTGTTCCATGGGAGAGCATGCAGGCAGGCAGTAGTGGAAGCTGATCATCACAGCACACACAATAGCCTCAGCTCCAGAGAGCAATCATGAGCACAACTTACAGAGCTGAATAGCTGCCAACCACATGGACACAGCATTTTGGGATGTAAAAATATTTTATAAGCTGGGAATTCAATTCAATATGTTTATAGTTTGCTTCCATTTAGAATTCCCATTTAGGAATACTTTTCCCTTGGCAGTTCATCTACCATAAGGGTTTATTTTTTGGTGCGTGTGAAACTTTCTGAATTTAATGTCAGGAAAAATCCCCAATGTCTATACCATATAAATAGTCATCTTTGGTGTACAGTATTCTGATACTTCATAATTTTTTTTTTTTCCAAGCTTGTCACGAAAATTAATCCCTGTGCTGACTCTCCTATGGAGTACAAATGGACACACTTGTGTTCATACCTCATACTCCTTACTGCTGGAGAACTTCTTGGCACCAATATTCACAGATCAGTACAGCGCATTCACACTAAGAAACAACACTACTGCAGGTAAACTAACTATGGCAAAATATGCAGGGCCTTTTCTCTTTTCTTTGAGACATCGTATATTTCTTATGTCTTCCCTCCACCTGAAATTCAACAAGAAGTTTGAATTTTTTGAAACTGAACATCAGCAAGATTTGTCTTCTTTGACAACTACATTAGATTGCTAGATTGCTGAATTCAATCGCATTTTCAACCAGAAACTGGACAGAATGAACTGAACAGGCTGTTGGCATGAACAGGCGTGAACAAAAACCAAATGGTTAAGTGTTCAGAGGAGGAACAATTCCAGAGTTTTGGTGAAAACTTTATCTCCTTTCTGATAAACTCTGAATCATCTGTGCTCTGCTTACAGCTTTGCTTTCCGTAAGCAGATATTAGCGTATAAAGCTAATCCCAGCCTGACGCTATCTGAGACATCTGAAAGCAAATTAATCATTATTCAGATACAGATTCCTATCTCATTAAACAGAATAGCCCATGTTCAGAGAGGCGCGCTGAAGGTAGGCTGAACACCTGCCAATGTATGTTCAGACACATAAATTACTTCCAATAGAAACAACCAAGTATCCATGTGTCAACTTGCCCCTCAGTGTTTCAGAGGCTGCCTTGCTGTGCTAATACACAGGCATCCGGGAGCACTGCAAATTCTGCACACAGAGAACTGTTTGCCTCTGTAAGGATGCTGCCTTGCAAAGATCAAGCTGTTGCTAGGAGAGCATTCCATCCTGAGCCCCCACTTTGCCTGCAGTGTGGGCAGGCTGTGCTGACATGTTGCCAGGAGTTATGGTTTTTGAATCGGTGACTGATTAAACATGCATTGTTTCCTGGTTGTGCACTGACATACTGCCAGTTGCCGGATGGGAGATATAAAGAGCACAAGAAGCCCTGCACAAGCTGTAGTTCAGTACCAGGAAGTACCTGTTGATGAAAGATAAGCAGCCTGCCAGGATGCAAATGTTATTACTCTAGTAGTGGCCTAAAATAATTTCCTGCTCTTATTCGCTCTGGTCTGTGGGCAGCACAGGGCTCTCTCTCCATTTCTCATGCATTCATGCTCAGCTGCCTCACCCTACGCCCCAGCCATGAACTCAGGGAATACCAGGAGGAAACACACAGGCTTTGTCACCCCTAAGGAGTCTATCAAGATACTAGCTCTTTCTGCAGCTGCCACAGTTTGTTGCTGATAATGCTGGTGACCTTTTGCAGGCAGGATTGTTAATAGTGGTGTCAAGATGGAGATAAATTGTCCCTCATTAGCTGGGTGTTTAACCTTTTGCAATTTGGTTCTTCCTGCATATGAGTGTAGTCTCCCCAAGGGCTCTTGCCACTGTCTGGTTTCCCAAAATGGCAATTAACCAGAAAAAAAAAAAAAAAAAAGCGGAAATTTCTGTATATCAAAACACAGCTTCCAGACTATTAATCGCTTTCTCCTATTATACATTGAGTGAAAGACTGAACCAGCAAGTCTCTTATCCCTGTCAGCTATGGAGCAGAGAAACGTCACCAAAACCTCACCATCTCCCCAGCACCCTTAGCGTATGTCCTGTGCTTCTGGGAGGGAGGGAGCACAAGCATGCCCAGCCGAAATCCCACCCATGGTTGCAAGTAAGGACTTTCCTTCTGATATCGAATCTAAATCTTCCCTATTTTAGCTTAAAACTGTCCCCCTTTGTCCTATCACTATCAAAGCAGGTAAAAGACACTTTCTGTCTCGTTTCTAAGCTCCCTTTAAGTATTGGAAAGCTGCAATGCGATCTCCCAGAGCCTGCCTTTCTCTAGGCTGAGCAAGTCAAGCTGCCTCAGCCTTTCTTCAATGGAAAGGTGCTCTAAGCAACCTTGTAGCCTTTGGATAGCCCCTGCTCAGCACTACTGGGCAGGGACGAGGATGAAGGTTTCCATTTAAAATCAGGTTAAGTAAAGGGGTGCCAGCAATTGTCTGGGGAAGCAGCGTCATTGCAGGTTGGGCCTGCTGCAGCACCACTATCACCCTGGAGACTGGCTGGTAAACTCCAGGCCTCCCAAAAAGGGGGGGGAAACGGGGGGGGAACTGGCAGTGTAAACAAGTAAAATGAGATGGATGAGGAAGCCCTACCGTGAGCCTGGACCTGTGTGCCCTCTGCTTGTTGGGTGAGAGCCTGGGAGCAGCCGGGGTTCTTTGCATTCACAGCCCCGAAACCCAAGTGGTATCCCACGTGCAACATAGCATTGCAGGTAAAAAGTTTTCTATTCTGTTTGCTGGCTCATTATGAGTTTCTCTGATCTGCTGAGCTTGGGTCTCAGCCAAGAGCAACTTATTTTACATACAGATCTATATGTATCATATATATACATCATATATTTATTTTATATATATAGAGATACATACATGTGTGCACAGAATAGCAATGCCAAACTTGCCGGAAGGGAACTGGATGCTTCTGGAATCGGGCAGAGGCAGAGGGGAGGCTGCAGCTTGCTGCAGAAGGGTTGCTGGGGTTGGAAAACAAATTTTTTGTTTCTTGTTTGGGTAGTCACCAAATAGTTGTGCAATTTTCATGTTTGTAATAATGTAATGAAATTGTTAGAAAAAATTCCAAACACATGCAATTAGTTTAAGCTGCTTAAGTTGATCACCAGACTCTGATATCTTTTCTCAAGTGTACTGTGCGACTTGGGATTTTGGCCAGGACAGGCACTTTCAGAATGACAGAAATCCAGAGATCAGTGTGGCTTTGTATCTGCCATGCTTAGGTGTTTCTTGGGGAAAATAAAGCTTGAATTTTCCAAGAAAGCTCTTAGGCTCAGCTGAAGGATGATGTGTAAATGAGTGGCACAGAGCCATAATGTCATTTTGGTTACATCTGGCTCTTTCCAGATGTAAGCTACAGGTGCAGAAGGGATGTAAGAGGATCTGGGTGCTGAACAACCTGAGGTTTTCTGAACCCAATATATCAGGTTTCATTTCTGTTAGGAAATGCAGTCACTGTAGTCCAGCATGCACAACAAAACATTGCCCGTGGAAACAAACAATGCACAGTTCTGTGACTGCTTGTAGCCAAGCTGTGGCAAAACAGGACTGTCCAGCATTTAATTAAGTTAACCAGACTCTTTTTCATTTCACAGTGGGATATGTCTGATGATCTCAGAAAGTATTGGAATTATAAATATATAAAATTGCAGTTAATATCTTTTCTTGTTTTATTTGTGATTATTAATGCATAACACATTTGGAAGGTACATGGCGAATTGTCACAGTCAAAAAATCCTGACCCTCTGCGTAACTCTTTTATGTTAGAGCCAAAAGAGGGCCTCAGTTAATAAAAAAAATTGTTTTTGCAGTGGTTATTCTGTAAATGCCCTGTAGTGTGCCCCTGGCACGCAGTGTGCTATATGTATACATCAATTCTCTTGTTCAGTGCATTGGGAAAGATAGGTTAAAATCAACCTGCAGGAAGAGCTGCTTGGAGTTAGTAAACAAAAAAGAAACAGAGGAGAATAGATTGGGAAGAGCCTTCTGCCCTCTGGAGAGCAGTGTCACTGGTGACAAATCCCTCTAGAGTTGTGCTGTTTTGATCTCTTATTGCAGTTAAGTGTTTTATTCTATCTCCATCTCCAACAATAATGTGACGCTGTTGCAAAGAAGGGACAAAACCAATCTGCACCTCCGGCTTTGCACTGCAGTGCTTAATTGTGTGTAGGCTCTGTAACTCTTGTCCTCTCAGAGACAGCGGTCAGATCCTGCTCCTGCTGAATAACGTAGATTTTGTCTAGCACAGACATGATCACATATTGCACTCGCTCTTTATTTCACAGGACAGGCTGCAAAGAGAGGATTTCTTGGAAGAAGTAGTATATATGGAAAGCAGAATGAAAGCAGAGGAGAGAGCATGTGAATTGCTGTGAATGTTCAATCCATGCCATGATTCAGGAGCTCTTTTCTTACAGTAATTCTTAAAATGATCTTTTAACAGTCTTAGAAAATTTATCTTTAGCATTAAAGCAGCTGCCAACAGAAATAAGGAAGTGGCAGACATGCTACTATGGATCAGACTCATGTTTACATCTTTATACTTATATATGGAGTATCACTGAGTTGGAATGGACCCACAAGGATCAAGTCTAACCCCTGGCTCCACACAGGACCACACAAAATCCAAACCCAATGACTGTGAGCAATTATATATATATATATATACATATATATGCATATACATATACACATACATACATTTTTTTATATGTGGATTATATTTACATATTTATATTTCAGCTTTTCTGTGTTTACTGAATGCAGAGAGAGGATTCTCAAAAACATGCTGCTGTGTGGCACAGGAAACCAGCACATGTTTAAGAATCATAGAGTATCTTCAGTTGGAAGAGACACAGAAGACTCATTGAGTCCAACTCCTTACTCCATATGAGACTTCCCAAAAATCAGACACTTCTTGAACTCTGACTGACAATTCAGTGCCTGTTGTCTTGGGAAGCCTGTTCCAGGGTCTAACCATCCTCACACTATAAATAGTTGTGCACACTATTAATAGATATATGTATAGATACAATATATGTGTGATGTAGTATATAGACACTGAAGGAAAATATGGTTTGTGCAGTATTGATGTAAACTCACTGTATTTTTTATTCTTGCTGGATAGAAACATCCATTAAGGACAGGTCATTGTCTGCAGAAAACATTTTTGACTGCTGACTCCACATAGCTGAAAGGCCTTCCTGGTCACTCATTAATGAGCTCCTGGGAGAACTTTGCTCTTTCTGGATGAAGCAAAAGCTGACAACTATCTCTTTTCTTTCACACTGAATTTCTCAATTATGCTAGAAGTGGATCAAAATTTTGGGGGATCAAAAATGTTTGCTCTAATTGTTGTTTTTTGTTTGGTGGTTGTTTTTTTTTTAAGCCCAGCTGGTGAGGTCTGAAATCAACACACACACCACAATAAGCCATTGTAGCCATTGCTGCATATAAGGAGTGGATGCATTGTATGAGGATAGGGACCTGAGCTCACATATGTTTCTACTGCCCACATGGGCTTCAGATGCTCTCTCGAGAATCAGCATAGAGAACAACATACAGACAAGAAGACAGTCCTCATACAGAACAATTTGGGTTGAGAACACTGACCAGACCACAAGACTGAAGAGGCCCAGTGAGATGCAGGAGGTGCAGTGGCTGCAGTGTTCACATTGCTGTGCCCACCAGCTTTCAGCAAGCTCGTACACTGTAGGTCAAGCCAACTTTTACCCACCTTTTCCCATTTGTATCTGGGTTACAATTGCAGTGTGGTTGTCTGAGCTCTCCTTTCACGTTTGCTAGCCCATGAAGCACAGGTCAAAGCGATCATTTTCACTAGTGAAAAGATTATGAGTAGTTCCTTCAGTAATTTCTTTTTCTCAGTAAAGGATTCTACTAAGAGGATAAAGGATAAAAGAAGGGAAATAGAGAGTGGAAAGGAGTCCTCATGAAAGTGCTGCCAGCACCTTACAAGTGAGAGATTTGGAATGCTCTATATATTGATTGGCTTAAATACGGTGTGTTGTGTGTAAGAATCCAGTCACTTTGAGAGCCTTTATCTTTCAGATGCCAGGCACAGCAAGGCATGACCGAGAGATGGCAATCCAGGCCAAAAGGAGTCTGTCCAAAACCACTGACCCTGTAGAAAGACTTCGACTGAAGTGCTTAGCAAGAGGGTCTGCGGGCATCAAAGGACTTGGCAAGTGAGTCTAATAAGTCAATTTCTTTGTTAAACCTAATAGTTTTAGCTGCAGGAGGCCCTAGCCATAAGTAGCAAAAGGGTGGTTATAGAATAAAAGAGGGAGGTTCTTCATTGAGTATCCAGAGATGGGTGAGAGTCAACAGCCAAATTGATATGAAGGAAATTCCAGATAAATATTCGGAAAAGCTGTTTCACCATAAGCATGGTTAAGCATTAGAAGACAGTGCAGAACTTCCATCTTTGGAGTATTCCAAAACCCATCTGGACAAAGCACTGAGAAACCTGGCTTAGCTTTGAATTTAACACTGCTTTCAGTGTAAGGCTGCGTGAGACACTTCCAGATGTCTTGTTCAACCTGAATTATCCTCTAGTTAAAGTTACAAAATCTCATATCTTTGTTGAAATTCTGGCCCTGCTGAGTTGTACAATAGAAATCTTCACTGCATCCATAAAGTACAGCTGTGATTTGCATGCCATGTGCAGTTGTTTGCACCTGGAAAGCACATCACTCCACTCTGATCTCTTGTTTCATGTGAGAAGTGAATCCCCAAGACACTCTGAACTGGATCTGGAGAAGAAATTAGGGATTTTCATCCCATTCAACTGGCTCTTTTTCTGCCCGTGCCCAAATTCTAAGGACCAACTTTGGTCCTCAAAATCTTCACCCACTGAAGATTTGAATTCCTTGCTTTTGCAGTAAGTACTCCTTAACCATTTGGGACAAACCTTGCTCTTTGGCCAGCAGCAGTCTGAGCAGGATCTAGAACCCGTGTTTGCCACTTCTCATGCAAATGCCACAACCCACAGAGCCCTGCTTTGGGAGACAGGGCTGATTTGCTCACCTGGTGAAGGACTGAGTATCATGAATCCCCCAAAGGAAAGTGCTTTCCCAAAATCCGTAATGCTTTCCCTAGAGAGAAGTGGAATGTGAAATGTCCTTGCATTCCTTGGGCTGTGACTGCCCTTGTTTAATGGTCTGTCAACTGCTTAGCCTATGAGGGGCACCCAGACCCTTCTGTAGACAACCCAGCCTAGGGAGGGGGAACGGGGTCATGCCCTGAAACCCCCTCCTTGTCCCTCTTAGACACAAGTGGGACCACACATGACCAGCTGAAACTTCACGTGACTCTTTGACAGTACCATTCTCCAGCTCAGTGATAAACCTTGGCAGTGTCCTCTAAATTCTCCTTTCTGTTCTCCTCAATTTGCATGTTTTCCACAGAGTATTTCAGATTATGGATGATGACAACAGCAGGACCCTTGATTTCAAAGAATTTGTGAAAGGTTTAAATGATTATGCTATGATGATAGACAAGGAAGAAGCACAAGAGATTTTCCAGATATTTGATAAAGATGGAAGCGGAACAATTGATTTTGATGAATTTCTTGTTACACTGAGAGTAAGTCTGAGAACTTATGTCATTACTGCATTAAATTTGTCCTGATTTCTCATTAGCTAAACTTGATTAGAACTAGCAAATCACAGCACTGTAGTTAATGACTAATTAGTAATTAGCAAAATCTATAGATGTACTCTATGTGTCTGTAACTCTTGAGATGTCAAAATATTCCATTTTCATCTAAATATGTGAAAAAGAAAATTGCCACAAATAACCCGTCTGTGGTTGGCAGAGTCTTACACATAATTGCTATTTATTGGCAAAGCCTAAGCCTCCTTATAAATAAAAGGTTACGATAGATCATTATGAATTGCTGTCTTGATTTGGGTACATCAGTTCCTATTCTGTAGTCTGAATACATATGTATTTTAACCTGTTAATCTCACTTACCTAAGCATCGTCTTATACCGTATCTCCTCCTCATAACATCAGCTAGACGTCTGGGGCCACAGTGAGACTGTTTCTGGTTGCAGCCCCTACTCTGCTGAAGTCTCAACAATTTAGAAAGAAAATAATTAGTGCTTACTGATGATATAAATATTTGAAATTGGTAGAAATATTCTAGAAAGCATTTTATCTCTTTTTTTTCCATTGCCTATCCTACTGATAGACAGTAATTAAACTCTATCAAACCAGTTTTTTGATGATACATTGCTCTTCCTATGTCATGGGCAACATAATTTGTCAACATTTTGTTATCCCATGGGCCTTGAACGATTTTTTGTTCCTATATTTTTACTATAGAATATTAATCTGTTGATTCTTTACAGCCTCCAATGTCAAATGCCAGAAAAGAGATCATCATGCAGGCATTTAGGAAGTTAGATAAAACTGGAGATGGTGTCATCACAATTGAAGACTTACGGGGAGTATATAATGCAAAGCACCATCCCAAATACCAAAACGGAGACTGGACAGAAGATCAAGTTTTTAGGGCCTTTCTGGATAATTTTGATTCACCTTATGACAAAGATGGGAAGGTAAGTGAAACACCTAATGTAAGGCCATGAAATCGCCAGCTGAGTCACAATTTAAGTTAAATTATTAAACGTACTAGGTACCATTTAGGACTGTGGCCACTACCAAACATTCATTTGTGTCACATACATGGAGTACAGTACAATGAAACCTCTGAGTAGAACTGTTGGTGCATCTTGCTGAGTCACTGAGAGGAAAGGGGTTTGGCAGAAGATGAAAAGATGGGTGTGTGATTACATTTATGAGCTTGTAGCTTCTATAGACCTATTTTCATATATTATTTCTTCAAACTATCCCGCTCAATTGCTAATTTTCAAAATCCACAGAAATTGGAGGAACTTTTACTTTTTAGGGAAAATAAACCGAGATCCAGCTCAAAAGCAGGTATCCTAATAGGTGAAATACTTTACAGTTAGCGCTTCTCTAGCACCTGTAAATGCTATCATGCTTTACTTGAAAGTCAGTCTGTAATAGTGACAGATTTATCCACAGGGTGTTGGTGAAAGGGAAGCTTCTTTGGGCAGCCTGTGCCAGTGCCTCACCACCACTTGAGTAAAGAATTTCTTCCTTCTATCACGTGTACATCTCCTCTCTTTTAGTTTAAAGCCATTCTTCCTTGTCCTGTCACTATTAGACCATGTGAAAATAGCTCCCCTTCCAGTTTATAAGTCTCTGTTAAGTACTGAAAGTACAGTCAGGTCTCCCTGGAACATTCTCTTCTCCAAACTAAGCCTGTTTTCATAGTGGAGATACTCTAGCCCTGTGATCATCTTTGTTGCCTCTTCTGGGCCTGCTCCAACAGCTCCACCTCTTTCTCTTGCTCGGAGCCCCTGTCCTGGATGCCCTACTACAGATGGGGCCTCAGGAGGGCAGAGCAGAGGGGAACAGTCCACTCTGTCTCCTTGCTGCCACCACTCTATTGATGCAGCCCAGAGTACTGCTGGCCATCCAGGCTGCAAACACACAAATAGGCAGGCTTCCAATAGGCAGGTTCTCAGCTGGTTGAGAGGTGATTGCTTTTATTTCCCTTGGGGAACACTTTTCACTTTGTAGAGCTCAATTTCAAACCTTTTTCTTCTTTGGCACTCTCAGAAATACCACTGTGTGAATTGTCCCTTTCCTGCAGCTCTGGTGATATATAGCAAACCCCAGCAAAATATTCCCACTTTTTGCACCAAAGGTCATAAATGAATACATTAAACAAGACTGGTCCTTGGTAAACTGAGTGCTTCCAATAAGCTTCACCAATGCCTTGCTTCTCAAAAATACCATAGTGTTTGAACTTAAAGAAAAGTTACTCTGATATCTCATGTCTTGTTCAACAATCTGACGCTAGGTAGCTAGATTGCAGTTTCTTCTGAGAACTGTTAGCTTCCTGTGCCAGAATGGAGGTCACTAATGGCCCCTCTATGAACTGAGGACACCTAAAATGCTTTCAGCTGAAATGCCTCAAGGCTAAATATTTGCTATGAAGGTACTCTTCATTGTGATCTTGCTGGATGCCTCTGAAACAGACATGGTCAGGGAAGTTTGTGTTCATTTGTACTGTTAGGACAGGCTGTAGGCTTTGCAATTTCTGTTTGCAATATTTTGCTTAGCTCTGAAATACACGATACTATAGGAGCAAATATTTTTCTGTGTGATGTTTTGTTCAAAGAATAACCCCTATGGTTCAAGAGTTATGATATCACAAGAGATATGCAGAATTTTCATCCTCCAAATACCCATTAAATTCATTAAAATCTCTTCAGTATTTGAAAAAATTTTTGGTTCTTTAAATGAGATTTGCATGGAGCACCGACATTTTCTCTCTGTTGAAGGAGTGTAAAGCTCCTGTCTGTCTCTGGGTTGCACCAGAAACCCAATCTACTTTCATTAATGATAATGCAAAGAACGAGGTGATAGTATTCTTGGAAAAAAATCAGATTAAAACATTTGTCTTCATGGGCAGCGCTAATTTTAACTTTGGTTCCTGATGAGATTAATTTAACTGTGCGCATTTAATCTGCATCCAAGTGTTCTTGAAGGAGCTCTTATAGATTTGATTCTCTACAAATTTTCACTGTCTTAATTCCTCCTGCTGGGTCCCTTTTCACTACAAACAATGCAAAATGGCAGGTATTGGGTTTTATTTATGTTTTTTTTCCCAGTATTTGGTTTTAATTACTCTACTTTGGAAAAAATACATGTTTATTTTTCTATTTTAAATTCTCTTGTCCCAGGTCACAACAGAAGAATTCATGAACTACTATGCAGGAGTCAGCGCCTCAATAGACACCGATGTCTATTTTATCATCATGATGAAGAATGCTTGGAAACTCTGATTGTATGATTAAATGAACGAGACTTTATTTCCATATTTTGTAGGTTCCCATGATTAAATGTATGCAAACAACATGCTCATTTTCCAAAACAGCAACTTCCCGTAACTGTGCCAATTACATTCAATCTACAGAAGCAATTCCCAGATGTTTTGTTAGGCTGAGCCTCAGAGGATGGACAGCACAATCAGAGAGTAGATCTGGCATCCAGCCACTGTGCAGATCTGTCTCTTTTCTACCTGCATCCCTGACATATCTTCTCTTTCCTGAGATGAGCTGCTTTTTTCACATGTCACGGTTTTTCCCCCTCCATCTCTGCTAGGCAAAGGATACAAGGGGAGGAAAATGAGATGTTCTGAAAGGGTGATGGCCTGACGCAACACCAGTGACAGTGTCCTAGCAGGGACCAGCCTCCTTGATGCAGGCTGGAGGGCCACCATTCCTCTCCTGCAACATCTCCTGGTTTCTCAACTCTCACCAGCAGGATAGATGATTGCTCACCTTGGAGTGTCAGAAGCTGGAGAGGGAACAAATCAAGAAGGAGAGACATGGAGCAGTTTTAAGTGTCTTTAAAACCCTGATTTTTCCACGACTTACAACCAATAACGCTCAATGTGCATCCGTCTTTCTTGCACACCTGTTGCTTGAAACCTGTGTGGATCTGTTGGTTGTTTCCCTGCCTTCGGTTTCTTTCTTTTTGTACTCTGAAAACTAATGGTTTGCTTTAAAGGATAGAATTGTGTTATAGTGTTTTCTTCTCTCTGTTCCTGGAACGTTTATCAGCTGTGTACCTGTTGCCCGTACACACCAACACCAAAAGTTGCTTACTGCTTTTTATGCTTGTACTGGGTTATGACCAAGCTCATGACTTCAGGAAATTTTCTGGGATCTTAAGAACTTAAAACTGTCGTATCATCTTTTGTTTCTGATGCTGTATAGAGGATGGGAACTGATGCTTTTCCTGTTGTCCCATCCACACCAGTGGGACTGCCTGTGTTCTGAGATTTGATGGCCTCTCCCCACACAGCGAGTGGGGAAATGGCACAATGAGGAAACATTTTCAAAAGTGGCATCTGGGGAGGGGGAATGTATCTAATGTATCTAATCATTCCTGCCTTGATTTCTTTTCCATTTGTCTTCTATTTCCCTCATGTCATGCTGCTGTTCTGCCAGATTGAGCTGTTGCTGCTGAGAGTAAATGGTTTGTGCACAGCAGCATTTACTCTGTTTCAGGCTGGTAGCAAGCTAAAAGCAGTATAGACTTACACGCTGTACTTTCAGATGAGTCTGAATGAAAAGTCTCTGCTCATACTTAGTCTAGATTGCTAGAAGTTCGGGTTCTGCAGCCCTTAGTGCTCTGGTTCTGTGCAAGCTCTGATTGTGTCTTTTTTTTAGCCATTGCCTCAGTAGAAGCCATAGCAGTTTGCAGCTCCTGACTAAGGGCTGTGCAAACTCAATTGTTTTCTGTGATCTGCAAGCCTCCAGATATCTGTACGCTAGCTAATGCTGTTACCTTGTGTAAAGTGTCTCTTTGTGACTGACATTAACCATATGAAGAGTCGTTACTTACTGGAACGCTACTGAGGTGCCAGTATATCTTGTATGAAAAATAAACTTGCAGTGAAATAGAGGCTTTACACATCCTGGCAGCTTATGTGCAGTCTGTTTCATTTTCATTTATTAATTGGCTCCAGAACAGGGCATTGTGTCATGTTAGCTATCTTCTGTTTCAGATGGAAAGAAAGTAATGTTAACAGACTGCGGGCATCACAAAATAAAGGCATTATTTCCTCCTGACCTGCTAGCTTGCGGTTTCAGACTCAACTATGATTTATTGAGCTGACATTTAATTGGGGGTAATGGAAGTTTAAATCTGAATAACCATTACTCCCAGCCTGCTTCTCTTCCCAATACTAACCCCTTCACCCCAAATTGAAATTACTTATCAAGAAAGCAGGATTTGGTGGAAGGAGGATTTTGAGTTGAGCTCAGAATAGTGATGCTTTTTTGTAGCATCTGACTCTGCTCTCCCACCTCCCTGCTCATCACCCACAGGGCACATTCCTCAGCAACTTCAGGAGAATGCCCGTGTGGCTTTCCCGATTTGCTCAGCTGCAGGTTGCTGTGTGCCGGGTACGTATGCTGCAGATACAGATGCATGCAGGCTGTCCTGCCAGCCCAGGGCTGCACAGTGCACCCAGCAGATGTTGGGAGATAGGTGGCAATGCATGCGACCATATCAGGCGCTGCCATCAAGATTGTCAGATCTCGGTTGGTGCTTCATGCTTGAACATTTTATTTCTTCTTTCTGATTGTGCAACCAGTGCTAAACAGGATGGTATAAACCATAGGAACATCTGAGCCTGCACGGCTGAAGGGCAACACCAGAAGTGATGATTTTGGCTCCAGCCTTGCTGCAAAAGTGTTGTCTGCTCCTCCTGGTCTCTTCTGCCTGAGCTATCAGAGCATCTTCATGACCTTGCAGGCCAATACAAGGCTCACGCTCTCCCTTTCGTCCTTCCTAGGCTGAGGCTGCGCTTGCCTGTTCACTCATGACTTAATGTTGGTTTTGCCCCAGTGTGGTTTAGTGGCTTTGTGTTTTTGTTCCTGGAGGGGAGCTTTTTGGCTCGCTCTGATCCACAGCTGTTTGGCTCACATTTCCCTCCCTCAGCATGAGTTTCTGGTTTAGGCAACCAGAACACAGTATGCTTACTTAGCACATATACACATATATGGCCACTGATTGCACTGGCAGAGCTGGCTGGCATTGCTGGTGCACTGCACAGATGGAAATGGCTGAGGCTGATGCAGATGAAACCAGCTGCTCACACTGCTCTATGAAAGCCATCATGGCAGCAACTGTGCAGCAACAGAGGGCAGAACAGAGCTGTGCCACCCTGCTGATGTGAGACCTGTGATTTCAGCTGGGCATGCCCAGATCTATGCCAGGAGCAGCAGCAGTAGCACGTTCATCTGCACACGGTAGAGCAGAAAGCCTGATGCCATTGCCAGATGCCCACTTTCTGTGGCTTTTCCTATGATATGAGCTCTTCCAGAACAAGGTCTGACCCTATAGCACAGGTTTTTTCCTGTAGCCCTACCAATGCATTTTTTCTTTGGTTCTCATTTTCACTTGCTTGACTGCCCTTAGGGGTTTTTTACATTCATCTGGTGATGGTGCTAGTGTTGGAATAACATAGTTTCATCACAGCACCCAAACTGTGCTGTCACTATTTAGCTATAGTCAGAATACCTTTCTTAGATTCATTTTTCCAGCAGTTTTTCCCTGAACACAGGAAGCTCAATCCACCTCCGCGTCAGAGTCACTGGAGTAGGTGCACTGTGAGAGCTTGCTGAGGAGTGCAACCTGATGTTAGGTCAGGACAGTCTGACCAAACATCAGAATTCTGTGAAAACAGCTTAAAAAAAAAAGAAAATAAGAAAAAAAAGAAAGAAGAAAAGGGCATGTGCTACACTAACACCTGCGGGCTGCAGTCTAGAGCCATCATACATTCTAAACTCTGCTTTTCTCGTTCCTAGGTTACAAAAGATGAAGAGCTACTCCTCTGGAGTGAGTGCCTCCGTGGACAGCAGTGCCTACTTTGTTTTAACAATGGAAACTGACTTTTTATTCCATTTGCCTCAACCTATTGGGAAGCGGAGACTATAAAGAAGTGAAACACTTCTCTGTTTGTTGTGTTTTTTCCTCCTTGTGGTCTGAAAAGAATTTGTGAGCAGCATGAAGTGGTGGCACCAGCAGTGTCCCATCCATATCCCTGTGGTTCCATCTATCAACAAGTGGCACTTATCAGAGAAGGACTAGCTTTGTGTAAAAGGCCACCTGTGTTCCCCAGCATCAGCACTTGTTTTCCTGAGTGTTGACATATTCAATTTATTTTGCAAACATCCTCTTAGACACAGCAGTGCTAATTCAGGATTCTTTGTGATCACAGTAACGCGGAACTCTCTGACCCTAAAATAATGCTTTCACAGAGATAGCGTGTCCTTTATTTTACACATTAGCGGGTTTGAAAAGATAGCTTCATAAACTCATAACAAATTGATAACTGGCTCAAGCTAGAAGAATAGTGAGTACGGTCCTTCTCACCACTGCACCACAGGGTCACAGTGTAAATGCAGGCAATGCATGCCCATTCTTAGCCCAGGAGGAGCAGAGCAGTCAGTCCCCCTACTTCCTCTTGGTCAGCCCCTAGTTGGTCTGTTACAACCCTACAAGTCACATTTTCCTGCACTTCGTTGTCATTTTCAAAGATCATGTACAAGTGGAAGAGATCTGGTAAACAAACACAGCAGAGAACAAATACCATCTTGAGAGATAATTAACGTTTTTTTCTTCATTAAGATTAGGCTGCAATTCTGTTAGAACTGACAAAAGACATTTTATTTCAGGGGTGATAATCTGTGTGCTCTTAGAAGTTGCTTGCATTATGCAAAGAAGCTGTGGAAAGATGAGGATAGAAATGAGAATGGCTGCGGCATACCATCAGCCCAGGAAGAACTCGGAGCTGGGGTGCCCAGTGCTCCAACACACAGCAGCTGTCAGCCCCCGACACACAGTACGGGGTAGTCTGGCTCTCTGCAGACAGTGTGTGCAGCTGAGTTCAAGTGCAGGATGTAGAAGGCGTGGGTGAGAAAGGTTGTGCTTTTGAGAAGGGGGCATGCAGGATGTGAAAGAGGAGCCGGATGGTATGCAGGTGTTGACATGGACCTGGGAACAGCAATAGGGGGAAATGCTGTCTTGTAAAGTAAGGAAATCACTCAGACCCGACTTTCACATATACATTGCGTATCTACAAGCTGTCTGTAGACCAAGAGTATGGGTGGTGCATCTTGTATAGTGCTTAGTTGTATTTCTCTCTTTTTTTTTTCTCCTAGAAAAACTCTGTAAGTTAGTGAGCAATTTTATACACATATTTGCCTCAATGACTGTAGAATAGCACGTGATGTTCAGGAATACTGAAAATGGGACTGCTATTTTATCATGACCCAGAACCAGCAAAATAGCCAGTGACTGATTTTTTCAAGAGATTCATATCCCACTGTTCAGACCACTGTCAAATCTGAGGGAGAACTGCTGGTCTCTGCATGCTGCAGAGGGAGCTAATCCCCACGCAGCATTCTCCTGGAGGGACTCAGGGCTGGTGTGAGCTCAGCCTGGCAGGACTGCTGCAGTGACCAGGCTGTTGTTACTGACTGGACAGAAGTTAGAGTGGGTTCAGAGGAGGGTCACAGAGATGCTCAGAAGACTGGAGCATTTCTGCTATGAAGACAGGATGAGGGAGCTGGGCTTGTTCAGCCTGGATAAGGTTTTGGGGAGGCCTGATAATAGCCTTCTAGTACTTGAAAGGAGCTTATAAGCTGAAAGGGACTGACTTCTTACCTGGTCTAATGGTGATAGGACAAGGGGGAATGGCTTTAAATTAAAAGAGGGGAGATTTAGATTAGATATTAGGAAGAAGTTGTTTACTCAGAGGGTGATGAGGCACTGATATTGCTGCTCAGAGAGCTGTAGTGCCCCATCCCTGGAGGTGCTCAAGGCTCAGCTGGATGAGGGCCTGGGCAGCCTGAGCTGGTGGGGGGCAGCCCTGCTTGCAGCGGGATTTGGAAACAGGTGGGCTTTAACATCCCTTCCAACTTTTGCCATTTTGTGATTCTGTGATTCTATGGATGCGGTTCAGGTTTTCACTGCTGTTTCTGAGAGACAGGGTCCTTTGCAAACCTTACTGCTAACCCTAAACCTCCCTTGATTTGGCTGTGCTCATCCCTGAAAATACTCTCTGTTTCATCATCTACCCAGATGCATATCTGGAATAAAGTAACCTATGTATTTGACATGAATTAGCTTATAACGTTTATGAGAAAAAGCCATAGTGCAGTGAATGTGCTGACAAAAGACTGCTTTGTTTTTATTGGCTGCATATTTATCAGCATTCAGCAGCGTAACTGAAGCATCTCTGAGGATGCAACCTACATGAGACTCTGCTTTAATGTACACACACCCACGCCATCACAAACCTGAGGGTTTTTGCTTTTGCTGTTGCTACTGGTGAGGGCTTGCAGCTGCACACAGGGATTTGGTCAATGCTTCTAGCTTTCAGAGCAGCTGTGAGCCCCTGGCAGAGGGGCTGCAGCCATAAAGCACTACTTCCACACTTTGACACTTCTGAGCTATCCAGAATTATTTGGGATTTTTCCTGGCTGAAGCTGGACAGAGCCCATGGAATTGTTCTAATTTCAGTGCTGATATAGCAAGATATGTTTAGGGAGACTGAAAACAACATGAGTATGTCATGCAAATAGCGATGTCCTTTTAATACAGTAAGGTAAATGTTATATGCAGTATACAGTATATATAGTACAGTATAAGTAAATGTTATAAATCCAAGGTTACAAGTTATCTAATTAAATAAAATAAGACATGAGGAACAGAATGAATATTTAAACATTAGCAGCTATGCAAAAAATATGACTACTGCATTGGAAAAATACAACAATTTCAGCAGATAAAGTAAATATACACCAAGTTGCTAGCACTCTTTCTGTATTAAAAAGCAGTGTACCTTTCTGGACAAACAGGAAGGCTGTTACATGTGGGTGACTTACTGTGTAAATAGTGCAAATAGATATGGGTATTTTATTCATTAAAAACGTAGGTTTGAGTTCAGAACAAGCACAGCACATACTGTACTGGATATCCCCTCTGTTTGTCACTGTGTTACTGGAAGAGGATATATTTCCAGCACATTCTCTCTACAGATGCACTGTGCAAGTCTGCACAGTGTGAGCATTACCAGCAGCTATTTATTTTAATGCAAAACAAGCATTATAAAGCAAATGAATGTCCAGGGCTTTCACCTTGTTTTACTGTATTAATAAATGTGTAATTTGGTGAGACCCAGCAATAAAAAATTCTGCAAATGTCACTGCACTTCCATGAGCCAAACCCCATGCTTTTGTGCATGCAGAGACCTGGGGGTGGCAGACAGCTGTCCTGGAAGCATTGGTTTTCTCCAGCAGACTATGTCAAATATAACAGCTTCTCAGTGGTTATTAGCAGTTGGAAAATGTCTGGGTAGCTTTGAGGATGAGGGAGGACTCTTTTTGCCCTTATACTCTGGGAACATAGGCATGTCATTTCAAGCAGCTAGAAGAGCTGGCACTTCACAGTCTGGTGAACCTCAATCCCAGAGCACAGCAAGGCGGCTTGGATTTCCCATGGCCACGCTGCTGGGCTATCATGCAGCCACGTGGCTGTAGCAGCTTTGTCTCCAAGTTTGTGCTCCGCAGTGTGCAGTGCTCCACAAGGACAGTGGAGTGGCTCAGTCCTCTCGGTGGCAGCACATGGGAAGTCCCTCAGAAATGAGCACAGAGTCCAGAAGGACAAATGGGGAGGGACGGCGTGCCTTCCTGGGTCATAACATTAAAACTACATTACCTCCAGGCAATTTACAAGCTTCTGTTTTTGAAATACAGGTCTTTGGATCAGTGGAAAGATTTGTGATGTTCCATTCATATTCCTAGGCCAGGCACCACATAAAAAAAGTACCTGGCCCAATTGAAAGTATTCTTATGCAGACACAGCCACTCGTGATAATTCTAGAGAGCAAACATTGCCTGAACATCCCTTCTGTTCTGGAAAGTACTTGCATGCTGCATAAATGCTTGCACAAGAGCTTCAGAAAAAGAAAGCAACATGCATTTTATAGCCCCAATTCAGTTACACAAAGAAATAGGACTTTGCTTTTCATTGATTTTGTTTTGTTAGCTAAAAATTGCAAATACACAACAGGAGATACTGAAGGTCTTTAATACATGACTGTAGCAGAACTATGTATAGATCCTGATTTTAGCTCTAGGGTATGTTTATACCAATAGCAAAGACAGTGGTATATTTGGTTTTGTGCTGTTTTCATCCTTCAAAAAAATCAGTCTGAGAAGACATCTTCCAAAAGTGATTCCATGTGCTTTTTCCTGGGGGCTCAGTCAACTACCTTTGCAGCGGTCAGTCTTCTGAATCCCCAGGTAACTAATGCTTGATAGCAACTCTCATTTACTGTCACTGTCCATAAGTTTTGCAAACTTCTGGACTTCACCAACTGCAGAGGAGTTACTCTTGGTCTAGTGTGAGAAAGATCAGATCAGTTTCACTTGAACTTGTTGCCATATTTCTTGTTTAGGCATTAACAGAAGGCTTCACATCTTTTAGATATGCTGTTGTTCTTGTCTAGGGGTGCAGTGTCATTGCTCTGGATTTATCAGATCTGAAGTCAGTTTAAATTAAATTTCATTTTTTCTGCAGTGGAGATTTCTGCTGGGACACAGAGGGCAGAAGTTGGGCCACTCAAAGAAAGGCAGAACCCACACATCTTCATACAGCATTGCATTGTGAGCAGGGTGTGGTGGAGATGAGAACTAGATGAGACAGAACACAGGAGAACAAAATAGGGAGCTTCAGTATCCTGCTTGTTCTAGGGAAAAGGCAGTGTTTCGTGATATCTGTAAGGCCTACTGATTTTTGTAAAAGCTAGACATGGTGACATAGGTTTCTTCATCGCTTGGTGCCTTCAATTCAGTGTTAGGTGGCACCATGTTGCCATTCTGGGACTCTGGTCCAGGTTGTCCAGGAGGATCCAAGGCAGGAGCAGAAGGAAGGTGAAAGCCATTATCACACAGAGGCACCCTGCTGCTGTGGCACACCTCATACAAGCCAGAGCTGCAGGTGTCAGCAGTGTCTGTAGACTGGCTGCTACCAAGGAGTCCATGAAGAGCCTCTGCAGACCAGATACCTCCGTAATTCATAGACAGGTTCAGGCTGCTTTTGTCAGTCCTTGCAGGGCTTCGCTTCAGGTCTGATCCACTCCTAAGCTTTGGTGAAATATCAGTCTCTGGAGTAGATGGTGGCTGCAGAAAATTTTCCTGTTCGGCTTTTGCTTGAATGCCATCCACTTCATGGATAAAAACATAACCGAAACTCTCTGGGTTAAAGCTTATATCAAAATTCTGCATGGCAAAAGGAACAGCATGTTCAGTTAACAGTAGCCCTCTGCGTAACAGAAAAGATGCTTCAAGAGTTTGTCTGATTTTACAAGGGTGTTTGTTATTTCTTTAATTCTGAATGTAATCCTGAACAGACTAAAAGGTAGGTTAGCAGAGAATTAAATACAACACCACTTAATAACATTTTGTATGCTAATCTGAATCTATTCTGTGATCTCCTGCTGGTAGCATCATTGGACAATGTGGTAGACTTTTTGGAGCCACTTATCCATTGCACACCGGCTGTTTCACAGGAATGAAGGTGCTGAACCTGGTTGTTCCTTTCAGCTTTATCTTCCTAATTTAGCAATGTGATAAATTAAATGTTACCATTTTTTTAAATACATTAGGAATCTTTGCACTAGGGAGCACAAAGGATGGGAGAGTCTAAAAATTAAGAACTTGCTAGTAAGTCACCAGCTAGAGTGCTGAAAGGACAGAGCAGATGAGTTCCTTAGTAAAACAAAACAAAACAAAACAAAACAAAAACCTAGATATAATAGGCAATCAACTAATCCTAACTGTTATAGTTTGTATCATTTAACCACCAGGTTTTTATCTGGAAAAGAAGGGCTGATGTGCTCCATGGTCTATGAACAATGCTATTGGCCATGTAAGGGTACATGGATATCACCAGGGATGTCTGAAGTTGGCAAAGTGACTCCCATCCAGCTCCACGACCAGTTTCATAATAGTACTAAAATGCCACAGGGGGAGAGGACCACAGAAATACACCTGGTTTGACCTTATGCCAAAAGGGGACCTTAAACTGGGCTTTTCAGGTCCCTGTCAAGCCAAGACTCAAGTGTTTTCAGTAAGGAATATTCTAGTTCTTCTCTGTGCAATCTACTAGATTTAATTGTTTTCATAGCAAAGGATTCTTTTCTTATATCCAGATGAATTTCTCCCTGAAGCAGTGCTGGCCTGTTACTTCTTGTCCTGTCACCATGGATTCTTGTGAAGAGAGCATCTCACTGCTTCCTACCATTTAGTTATCAGTAGACTGTGATTAGCACTCCAGCATTCTCTTTCCCACAAAAAAAATCCAATTGCTTCAACTGTTCTTCACATATCAAGTTCTTTAGCCCTCTATAGTTGTTTTGCACAATCCAAAACTCAGGCTCTAGTTGAATTGTCTGTTATGTCCATACCTTTCACTAGCATCTGCCTGTACAAATATTAGCTCTCTTGTGTGGAATGTAGTCATTTCTGAAAGGTGAATTGGTTGTGCAGCAAAGGCATGTTCCTTCTGTCATGAGTATAAATTTTGTTTCCGGTAGTCTGTAATCAAGTGAAAAAGACAGTAGAAATACATACATTTTTTGGCTTTTTACACAGTCGCTCCAGAGTTATTTTATGATCAGGAAGGTTTGGCCACACAACAGGCTTGATCCTGAAAGAGCAACAGTAGACATCATGGGGTTCAACAGCAGCAAAAATGAGATGCGTTGAGATGTTCACATTGTGTTATTTGTACTAATTCTCACAAAGCCTTAGGAGTGGCTTGCATTACCCACAATAATGACTGAGAGAGGTTCCAGAAAAAAAAAGTAAAGACAAGAGAAGAGGAGATATAAAGGTCACCTAAAAGTCACTATTCTTTTGAGAGCATAGACTGTCTCGGTTAAAGAAAGACATTTCATCAAGTACTGGGAAAGCAGCAAATAGTGCTGGCAAAGATCTCATTTGCATCTAGTTGCATTAACTGGGCTTTTCTGTACCATTTTCTGTAAGTGAAAGAAAGAGGCTGTGGTTAAAGTGCAAATTTGCAGAAATTTGCCTCTGCATATTCACATTAACCAAAGAATTGCGTATTTTCCTAACCCATAGTCATTTTCCTGTGCTTCAGGTATCTGTGGTACAGCTTTGTCCCATAGATCTCTTCTTACTTCTAGCAAAGTTCTCATGCTGTGGTGCTGTGGAAACCCTTAGCCATGATACATCCAAGCAACACAGCCTGCCTGAAAATCAAGATTGCAGTAATATAAGTATAGCCAAATATATCAGCACTGTCTCAGCAACATTATAATATCACAGATACGTACAAATCTATATTCCTCTTCATACGGGTATTTGCGTATGTGTGCAAATATACAAAAATATGAAAACAAACAAATACAAATAAATAATAATAATAATAATAATAAATATAAAAAGATTCAACACCTGCTTTTTTCAGCAGTTTTATACGTGCAGAACTTCCAGCAAAGTTGGAGAACTACAGGTGCTCAGTAACACTGAAGAGCAAGAGCTAGAAATCTCAAGCTACATCCGTGATTGTAAATTAAACAGCACCAGAGAGTATGCCCTGGCAGACAATTCAGGTGTCTAAAATGCATAATAATTAAAAGTATTCTTGACATTTAACTGATGCCACCCAAACACATGGGAAGGCAATCCCCATGTGCAACTCAGTAGTTAGGACAGCTCAAATATTGTCCCCAGTAGAGTGGTTCACATGCAGACATCCCTGAAGATGTCAGCAGAACTGCCACAGGCAGAGGCTGAGTGCCTCCATGCAGCCCTGGTCCTTCACCTTGCTGGATGTCCATCTCCTGTGTTTTGGAAGTTTTTCATTTAAATTCCATTTCTACCAGATTATCCATGCATGTGTTTATTTTCTTAAATTTGTCTACTAACAGGTACTTATCTACTGTTGGTAGCCAATATATACAAAAAAAGCCAGGGATTTTGTGCAGTTTTGCCACACAAATGAATGTGGACCCAGCTGGGTTCATAGCTCACATCAAGTCCTTGCTGCAGAGAGCAATGCCCCCCACTTCCAAAAGCAGAGTCCTGCTGACTCAGACTGTGAAAGAAAAAGAGGCAACCTCCCCACTATGCAGTTTCCATACTTCTCAGAACTTTACTAAAACCCACAGTTTGCTTTCTTTTCTGCATCTTGCTTGAGGCTCTTGAGTCAAATATGCCTCCAGTGAGACACTGACTATGTAAATGTCTCATGGTGGCTTCAGATCCTTGAGGGTCTCAAAGTTTCAATTTCAAGTCCACGATTAACGTCTGATTGAAGCAGAGGTGTAATAGGGCAACTATTGCCTGCCAGTACTGCTTCGCGCGTTTCTCTCTTCTACTCTTTGCTTTTGGCATGGTACAGAGGCTCAGAAATGGGAAGAGAATAGTTCACAGGTACAACAGGGAAAGCAATAGAACTGTCAGAACAGGATTGGCTAGCAACTTTCTTTCTCATATGAAAAGATCCAGATTACCATTACCTGCTTTCCCAAAATGTTAGGATCAGAACAATCATGACAACTGACAGAATGAATCCTGGGACGGAGAGTATAATCATGAACATGCTGCTATCTAAAGGCAAACACAGAACATCTGTCAGTGCAGATATGTGCCTCACTGCTAGACACTCTAATTGTAATGCCACCTCAGACAATCTATTAGGGATGAATGCCCAGCGCTGTACCTTCTTACCACTGGTCTGGAGCAATGGTGCATTTCACTGACTCCACGAAAGTGATATTGGGTTGGCCTTGGCTCCAGTCTTAGCTGAGCTTCAGGCTGGTTCCCATCTGTACTGAAGCACCATGTGCTCTGCTGTGTCCTTATGGCAGCACTGATATGATTCCCAGCTTACACTGCGTCTAGGTGCTGCCAAGGGCTGGAACTGCTATGGGCACTAATTCATCCCTCCCCATGCTTTCATCACTACTGCTGCCAGGAAAAACTAGTCTGTGGCCTGAGAACCCCTTAGCTGTCTTGGACCAAAATGGTTTTTGCTCGTACAGCTCTCTGTGGAGTACTCTCCTGTGGTCCTGAATCTCTTCGAAGTGCTCCACTCGCTCCACATGCCCTTAAAGTAATCTCCATTGGGCTGAGAACGTACTTTCACCTCATACAATGCATCCGTTTCGAGGTTTTTTCCAAGTAACTTTATCTGTAGGTATGGTGATTCTATGGTCTAAACACATTAAAAAATGCAATTACTAATAGGCATAGAAGATAAGAGCAGAACCACCAAAGCAAACATTATTACTATTACGCTGTTGGTAATGAGCTTCATACTGTTTCTTCACGATGTTATGTCTTCTATGTCCATGGCAAAGCCCAAGTACAAATGAATGAAAACTCTGTAGCCCAGAGAAGAACAGACAAGAACACTGTTAGCCATGAATTGCTTTGACTATCAGAATGCCAAATATTGCTCCTTTCCAAGTGTCAGTTGGAAAACTGAGAAAGGCAGATCTGAGAGTTTTTGCATGATACTGATATTTACATGAAAAAATTTAATTTCAGAAATTAGGTAATCTTAACAATATATAATTACCTTCCAATTGCTTTCTTCCTGCCGGTAGGCTATCTGGTGTATTAATTTATCCTTTAAATATTTCTTCCGTGAGTGTGGTGTACTATAATGAACGAGATATTCATTTGCCTCCTTTTGGTACGTTATGTTTATGTCAAATGGTACCTCAGGCTTGACTGCAAATAATAACAAACCAAGATATCATGGAGTCATTTTCAAGTTAAAATCCATTAAGGATAACTATGTAGGTTGAGAGTAAAGGTTGCCCTGAGCTGGGTGAACTTTGTGTTTAGGTCAGCTCAGCATTACACCTTGGTCCCAAAAGGGACTTAATGATGACCAGATGAATCAGGGTTGGGCCAAGCACAGCTTAAGAATGTGGCATGTCACATTTATTCTTGGAAAAGCAGTTCCTGAGTTCCTTAGACATGTCCCAACTTTGGCTTTGATGTGATCATTCTTGGGCTCTTAGTGCCCCATCAGCACCACTGGCACCACAGGCTCCACCAAAATGCAAAGCTTGAAAAAATGAGATCTTTCAACTCTGTGGTCACTGTGTGGGACTTCTAATTGCTGCTGAGCTCAATATAGAATTGAACTAATAAGCCCTGATACTGTGCAAGTCCTAGTAAGAGATGAATAAAATGTCCCTGCTTAGTAGTACACCCAGGACCAGGATTAGCTGCTTTGACCAACTGCATAATAATTTAATCTACATCCAGTTCTGGGCTATTAACAGCCAGAATTCAGATGCACGTTTTGAATGGGTGTTAATCATGTTAGGCTTTGAAGCATCACACACCATCAATACCCAAATCCAGACCTCATCCCTTCCTTGACATTTAAGTTTGCCCTGAACAAACTTATTTCCTTCCACTAATGAGCATACACTAATAATGTCCAAAATGCTCAGTGCCTTACCAATGTCAGTTACAATCAGACTCCTGCAGACCCTTCTCTTTATCTCATATTCCACACAAATGTCTTTATTTGAGAGTATGTCGGTGAACTGTAAAAAATAAACATCTTCCTGTTTCTCCATATTGAAACACAGGTAACTGCTGTCTTCCTTGGTACTGTTGGCCAAAGCAATACAATATTAGTTTCTTCTCAGTCTTACTGTGAAATTGTATGGGAAAAATCCTTGTTGCTAATTTCAAATAAAATGAAGTGTGACACCATATTAAGTAAGAAAAAATATCATGCAGATAAGGAGATTGAAAGATAGATAATGCTTTTCCTCATGGTATTTGAGCATAACAATCAAGTGATATGAGTCACAGTGAGAGTCCCGGAGTTCTCCAAGAAAAAATCAGTTCAAAACAGTAATTATTAATTGGAGATGAATGTGTTAATATATCTTTTTAAATGATCTTACTGCTGCCATATTTAAATATTAAGTTATATGTATGGATACTCCCTGATGGTAATGAGGAATTTCCTGTTGACCAAATTGGCATTATATCAGTGGTCAGCTCAGCCATGAGGTTCTCATGGTATTGTTTCAGAAGTTGAAATGTGTCTGCTTGTTCTTCCATCTGTGCACCTCTTGTGTTTGTGGACTGCCATAAAACCTCAGACAAAATCCTGAGTAAAATGCATGACAACAGAAAAATAAACTAGGTAGGAGGAGAAAAGAAAAAGTAATGATTAGAATAGTAAGGTGCAAAAGAGAAGGAAAATCGACTTTTGCTTGCAGCCATAGTACATTTAGTTTCAGGAGTATCAGACAGAGAGAAAGCAGAAGTATGCTGCAGAAACAAAATCTGAACTTCATCATCTAGGTGTATCAGTTAAAAAATAAGGTGCAAGAGCTTCATGGCCACAGCTGCAAGTGAGAATGACTGATGTGTTTGGTAACTCTCCTGTTTTTGTATACTGATTTCATTATGGTTGTTTTGCATGTGTGCAAAGACAGTTGCTTAATTTTAATTTTGTCTTGACATAGATAATGATATTTCCAGTAGAAAATCTGAATTCTCTTTTTTTTTTTTTTTTTTTAGTATCATTTAACATAAAGGAAAAATACTTTCATTTCATGCTCAGCTTCACCAGAAATTACAAATATTTCAGAGCAATGGGTGGAAGATGAGGAGTTCCGGAGATGTCATAATGCCCTTTACAGATCCTTCAGTTGACTTTTTTCTTGCCAGGGTTAGATTCTGTTTCAGTGAGCTCTTCTTCACTAAATATAGTATTTCAATTTGGTGAAGCACTCAAACTAAATTATGTTTTTCTGCTCCTGTTTCCCAACATTTGGCAGTGTGACTCACAGGTTCTTAAATTTCCCAGAAGTTTACCAAAGGACAGGCTGAGAGCACTTACCACACAGCCAGGGTATAGTTAGTGTTGTGAGGAGGCAGCTCTGTGAAATTGCAGGTCAAGCTGCTATAGGAATCCTTAAATTCCAGCTGACTGAAACAGTCAATGTCCAAATTATCAGGTTCATCATCTCCGAAGGTCCCTAAAGAGAGATTAATAGGATGTTACTGAAGCAAACGGTATATGAATTCAATTTGCTGCTTCATTGTAAAGAAGATTGCTTCTTTATGTGGTTGCATGAAAGGAAGAAGATCAGCCTGTCTGTTCCGTAAGGAGCAAAGAAAGCTTGCTCAAAATTAAATTAAAGGACACTTGCATCTTCCATGATTGCTCCCTGTGCATGCCAATGAAACTTGTCCACTTGGTACGCACTGAGGTACACATGGCATCTCCAGTCTGTAAACCATCAAACAACACTTCATCACAGTTTGGTGTAACCTATGCCTGTTCTATTCTGTTACTTATGAGCAAAGGGGGACAGCATTGTTGTTCTTGAAATCTCTGTGAATAGTCCTGTCTTCTAATGAAAACGGAGAAAATATCTTGTCCACTTTACCTCCTAATTCCCCCAAAACTTGAGCTAGGTATGGGGCATTGTCACTGTAAAAGTTGTGGATGATCTTCATACCAAGTAAAATTGGGACTTTCTCCACCCGAAAATCATCTCAGAACTATCTCAAACATGTTTTTTATTAGGAACCACAAAATGCTGCCATCCTTAGACACAAAAGAGGAGTCATACACAAGGACCAAAACTCCTTCAAAAATAAACAGCGCAGAAATAAGCACTGGGGAAATATACTGTAGAGCTGCTGCCAGAGATGTCTGGGGCTGATGTTCAAAGCTAATATCTGCTTACAAGCACAGGATAGTTTTAACAGAACTTATTTGTACAAGAATTTCAGTGCAGAACAACCTGGAAGTATATGAGACACTCATAGCATTGAAGCAAAAGCCCCACAGCAGAGGAGGCACACAATTGCCAGCACTGCGCCTGCACCAGACATCCCAGCAACACCCAGCAGCCTCCTCCTGATTCTGCCCTGTCCATGCTCAGTCCCACCGTTCCTGAAAATCCTGGGGAGTTATATGAGAGTTTTTCAGAAAACAAAAGTACTGTGTCACGAAGCAATTAAGCACCACAGCACGTTTTGACTGTACTGTAGAGTCTTCTTAAATGTCACAGACTTGGACTGAGGAGGGAAAGCTCAGACGTTCAGCCAGAACATGTGCCTTCCTGCAAATTTGCTTTGATGACTCATAAAACAATCATGATTTGACTAACAGCATACGTCTCATGTCCTACACTTGGCATATATGATGTCAGTGAAACAAAAGCTGATGTTTCTGAGAGGACTTCTCCCTGGCACACCTGCCAATTTAACCTGATTTCATGAAATACCACATACTGTAGCCAAGCAGACAACGAAGAAGTTATTACAAGCCCTTAAATGGATTGTCAAGGCAGGAATGCCTCTATCCCTTCCACCAGGGTTTCAGCGTAGCTGTGATAATATTCTAACATATTTCCATGTCCAGGGACTACTTCCAGTTCTTTTCTTGGCCCTCTACTTCCCACTTCTCCAAAGTGCCTGTTCCATGCCATCTCTTTCAGTGTGAAGAAAACTTGGACTTCTCCAGGGATATCAGTGATTCACGTATTTGTATTTACAGTATGGGGAAACGCCCATGGAAACATTTCCAATGGAAAATCCCTCCCCTTATATGCATTTGGGGTAAGGGAAGTAGTTTAAAAATCATTCAGGAATCCAGAAAAATAGGCAAAAGCAGTGCAGGACTGAGAAGTGAGCCGCTGCCACTAGCACCTGTGTTGGTGAGCAGGAGGGATGAGAACATCTGATGCTTCTCTGATCTATCTCCCAAGCTAAAAGTGGCTGTTTGCCACTGGAAGCAGCTGGTGCTAAGAAGCTGTTCCAGGACTTCCCTTCTCACTGCAGGTCTGGTGTCACCTGTCCCATAGGGAGTTGGTAAAAAAAAGATGAAAGATGTTGACATAGGACATCTTCCACCTGCGCTGCATGTTTGAGGAAACACTCTGTGCAGCTTAGACAGTGTAGGTAGAGGGCCACCCTCTTTGACTACCACATTTAAGAGAGACACAAAAGTTCGTGCACCTCCAGAGCAAGCCCTGCAGCAGCTTCATGCAGGGAAAGTCTTGACAGACAGAGCTCTGAGAAGTCTGGGCAGACATGTAGCTACAAAAATGGATCTTACTTTAATATAGCAGAGAGATGCTGCTGGGTATTTTCTGAATATAAAAATCACATATACCACACTTCATATAAATACACAGAACAGATAAATATTTTCAAACATAGCATATCAGACTGATATTCTCATCTATTTGCTACAGTTTTGCTGAAAACTGACAGAAATTTTAAGCCAATCTCTGTCAGTCTGACTGTAAATGTTTAAACAACACAGAGTCTTCGGTGCTGAGCAGAAGGAAAACTAACCTTGTCTTTTTCATTCTGAACTTTCACATAACTGATAATGTGGTTCCTTATTCACTGAAATAATATCCTAATCATAAGACATATAATAAATAAAGATTGTGAATGAAATATGACTTTGGAAATGCTTTTACTGTGGTTTTTTTCCAAGGACTGAGTGATTCTTTTTGATACAAATGTGCATCACCTCAGTTATACCCCTTCCCTAGCCCTCAGAAACTCAGCATGCAAATGTGTCCACTACATGAACAATTTCAGTGACTCCAACACAAACCGCATTGCTAAGGACTCAATACACAATTAAAAATTTACAAGATGATAATTTTTTCTCTTTGAGAAACCCAGACCAGACAGATATCTGAGCCTGGCAATACAGAAATCAAGACAGGACTTGTTACAGAGTTATTACAGTGCAAGAAAAACTGATCTTTTCAGAAATGGTCATCCCTTGGGTTTGGCCAATATCCAGCAGATATGTTCAAATCACAGGAGGAATCTTACAAGCCGTTACCAAGAGTGCTAGCAGAGGCTATTCTTGTGTGTCAGCTTTATGCTTCAAAGCCACTATGACTAACCACAATGTGTAAAACTGAAGGCACTGATAAGTGCCTGCATGCTCAGTGACTAAGTCTGCGAAGTCAAGAAGTGACCATCTCCATGGACAGAGCCATGTGATATCTCTAGTGCTGATGGCAGCAGACAGTCCGTCACCTGGACTTAGGATTGATTTGATTCTGGAAGGACTTGTTTTCATCATAACAATTTTGCTGTGGATTGCACAAGCTGTACAAGTGCGGAGAAGAAGGGCACTGATGCTGGCCATCCTGCTTATGGTACCCTGCCCCTGCCTGTGCCCACCTGCAGGATCATGGCTGCTCCACTGTAGTTTGCCTGGGGCTGCTCTTCCAGGCCAGGGATGGAGCCAAGGAAGCATTTCTGACAAGGCAGCCTGCCACTCGTCATAGAGGAGGAGATGAAGGCAAGTGCCAAAATGAGCTTTTTCTCTAATTTGTTGGCCAAATCTGTGGCACTCATGAAGAAATCGTAACAGCTGGTGGTTGCTCTGTGTGGATTTTCTGAGCATCTTTCTCTTTATTTCTAAGCAAAATATTAGTTATGGTTTACTGGAAGCTAGTGGTGAAATCAAGGAGAGGTCTTCTCCCCTCTGCTGTTGGGAAGCCCTGAGGATGTCAGTGACATCAGCTATAAATCACTGGCACTGACCTCTCCCTGCTGCAGCTTTTTGCAAAATCTGGCTCTAGGAAGCTGAAAATTGTATAAACAAAATATAAACAGAAATGAAACAAGCAAGTTTGAAAAGTTGCAATTCAGAGCTCTTTTCTGTTTTCCTCTAACTCAAAAATTTGCTACGCATACCCTGTCTATGTCTGTATGAGAAAATATATTTTTGTATACACACACATATGTAGTAATGCTATACTGTACATGACAATCAAGCAAGATATTCCTTGTCATTAAATCCATGGGAGCATCACCTTCCTAATAACCAGAAGACATTTTTGTTCCCACGCAATAAAATTCTGGTGTCCTATAGCAATCACTGAGTGACAGCCGATGTCTTTCAGAAAAATGCAATCAGCTCTTTCACTGCTGTTTGTTCGTATCAGAAAACGTTTAACAGAGCTGATAGAGAATCTGTAAATCCCTTTGAGATTCCTTTTGAGAAAAGGGATAGCAGATTTAAAGACTGGATTTTATCATCACTTTTTGTGTTTTGCTTTTCAATTTTGATGCTTCTAATCAACTTTCACTTGTCTAGATAAGACAGTTAAACCTGCAATAAAGCTTAATTTAAACTTTTGAGTTAGTTTTCAATTCTTTGTCATATAAGGGATTAGTATTCTTAGTGATGAGTTGTGAGAAACCCCTGGTCTCAGCTACTACACTGACAGAGGCTAGGACTATCCCTACATACAACTTCCACAATTGTTTAAGAAGAAAGTTTTTCTTTTTTAGTGAAACAGGTTAGGTCACTCTTGAGCTGCATTAAGATTCTGTGGAGGAAATTGGCAAGAGAAAGAGAAGCCAGTACTTTAGCCTTCTCTGATGGCAACTCAGAGTGATCCTAGGCTGCAGAAGAGTAAAGCAGCACCCTACTCATAGGTGCAACTCCTCACACAAATGCTAGAAGTAGCAAGAAAGGATTAACAGGTCTGATCTTGCATGGCTTCTGCATATGGCTGTCATTTCATACAAGTTTGAACAAGGATCTTGCAAGAACAGAAGATTTGGGAATGAAACAGATAATCCTTCAGCTCTGCATACATTTCCAGTACTGGCACTAAAACAAAGAGAATGGAGGCTAAAACACTAACATATTCAACCCAGCAGTTGCATTTTTGAGCTCTTAGTTCAGCTTTTCAAGATCATACAAGAGTGCAAAGATGAACATGAAATGACTCACCATCACCATCTCCTGAAGTGTAACCACTTTCCCCAAAAGTGGTACGAAGAAACAAGATGAGAATGCTCAATACTGTACTTGTCCGTGTCATTCTGAGCATGCTGCATGTGTGCAGGATGTGTGTGTGTGAAACCCTCACTCACTGACTTTATACTAGATGCAGAACAAAAAACCCATTGCTTGATAAAGAGACCGCAGGCAAGGGAAATGTAAACATACTGGCAAGGATGACTAGTGGCAGAGAGCAGGAAGCCAGAGAGAAGATATTTGCAGAGCTTTTACTTTGAAATATATTTCCCATTTCAAAATTAAGGACCTTCTGGATCAGGCCCATTGAATATGCTGATGAAGTCCAGTGGGTCAAGAGCAAGCTTCATGGACCATGTTCTTATTTGATCTAGTGAGATTTTTGCTGCTGGTTTTCCTGAGAAAATGGTTCAGACCTCATATCTGTTTTCCTTTCAGTGGAGATACACAGGTACCAGAGAGAAAAATCTTCCAGCTATAAAATGCTAATTATAACTACTATTATTTATTCCTTAAGTGTTGGCATCATACAAGCCAGCAATGTGCACTCGTAGCCTGGAAAGCCAACCGTATCCTGGGCTACATCAAAAGAAGCATGGCCAGCAGGGTGAGGGATGGGATCCTGCCCTCTGTTCTGTGCTGATGAGGCCTCACTTGGAGTACTGCATCCAGATGTGAAATCCTCAGTACAGGAGAGACAGAGACCTGCTGGAGTGCATCCAGAGGAGGGCGACAAAACTGATCCATCAAATGGAACGCCTCTGCTACGAGGACAGGCTGAGAGAAGTGGAGCTGTTCAGCCTGGAGAGGAGAAGGCTGTGTGGTGACCTGATAGTGGCCTTTCAGTATCTAAAGGGGAACTAAAATAAAGAACGGGACAGACTCTTCTTCAGGGTCTGTGGTGATAGAACAAGGGGGAATGGCTTCAAGCTCAAAGAGGATAGATTTAGGTTGGTTATAAGGAAAGTCTTTTACAGTGAGGGTGGTGGGGCACTGGAACAGGTTGCCCGAAGATATGGTTGATGTCCCATCCCTGAAGACTTTCAGGGTAAGGCTGGATCAGACCCTGGGCAACGTGATCTAGCTGTGCATATTCCTGTTCATTGCAGATGACCTTTAAAGGTCCCTTCCAACACTGAGGATTCTATGATTCTAAGGACAAATAAGGCAATGTTGACAAAAAAAAAAAAAAAAAAAAAAAAAAAGCAAAGGCAGAAAAAAGATGGAGACAAAGTTAAATATTTCCTTTGCACACTTTCTCTGGCTGTATACATCAGTGTACTCTGGTACGTATTACAGCTGACTGATGTGGCTAGCTACAAGTGAGCAGAAGACCTGAAAGAGGAGAGCAAGCTCCAGATCAGCACTGGCTGCACCAAAAAAAACTTTATGTTGCAGACATGAAGGAAACTGAGGGAAAAGTTGGTAACAATGCCCAAGCAAACTGAGAAGTCATGACACTATAAAAAGTGCAACATACAACCCACAGTGGCTTTCACATTTCATTTTCAAAGAATTTAAACCACTCACCAAAAGGATGAAAACTCAACCTTCACGTCTAGACCAGCATCCTTCTCATCTGGGTGTTAAGGTCTATCTTCCAGTGTAGCTCCCTGCTCTAGGCAGGGGCACTGGGGGAGTTTCTGGGCTCCCTAGCTTTATTTTAATGGAAAGAAATACCCCCTTTTGGTAAGGCATTCAAAAGACAAAATTTAATCCTTTAAACACATTAATTTCTCTCCACTGAACACAAAAAGAACCCAAGGTAACATGGAGGTAAACATCTGCTAGATAGATCTCCATGATCCATCCCACTCACAGGCACAGGATTGATCTGCTGGGCTGCAGCCACCTCTTGTACAAAGAAAAACAGGGGCTGCAGGGCCATGCAGCCACTGGAAACGGCCTCCTCTTGTCCTAACCAGGCCCAATCCAGAGGAGCCTACAGGGTTATTGGGGGAACCTCTTCATTCCTACAACATTCCCTCAAGAAATATGCCCCTTCAGATGTCCTAGTTAACTGGCAGGACTTTAGGAGTAGTTGTCTTCTCATCTCTCACTCCTGACCTTCCTGTACTTGATGTCAAGCCTGTTGACCACAAATGTGAATCGGAGATTGGGTCTCAGTGAATTCATGTCCCAAAGGACTGTCCTTTCTTGGTAAAGAACACCTGCATCTGGCTTAGTAATATTCTGTATCATATTATTCTAGAAATCAGTAAGCTAATTTCTACTGCATTTTCAATTAGAAATGTCAATAAAGGAGGGCTTTCCTGAGCAAACTGATTGCTGCCCGGAAATGACACCTTTTCACTTTAAATTTGCCTTGTTTATAATTAAGTGGGCTATCACTTCGATCATTTTTTTTTTTTTCCTGTTTCAGCAGAAGCAAACTAAAAGAAAAAGATTTTTCAGAAATAATATTTTGGCTGAACCTCAGACAATCTTATTAACAGAGCTGTGCTGCTGAGGGGATTTCCATGTTGTCATAGCTGCATTTTGTCAGGGTGGGGAAATGAGGGACCACAATGAAAAGAAAAAAAAGCCAACCTAGTAAAAATAAAAAAACAGAAGCAAAAATATGTTTTGTTTTACTTTTCAGCCTTTGCTTCAGAAGTTACTTGATTTCTAAGAAGCATTTGAGTCCATCAGTCTCACTTTGGTGTCTTCCTCTAATGTACTGGATATGGGAAATCAAATTTATGAGAGTCCAAATTTTAGGATAGCGGAAGTATTAATACTCAAGGGATGGAAAGGAGACAGAATTAACCTTTTTTTGCTATGCATTTATTCTGCTATAAGTTTACTCTGCATCTATCTCCTAATTCAATGTTATACAAGAAAGAAAAAGACGTTTTCCTGAATCTAGGCTTAAAATTTGAGCAGAGGGATACGTTTGTTCATTCTGTTGTAACAGTCTGAGATCCTGTGGAAAGCTGATGGATCAGGAAGATTAGAAAGGTATATAAAAAGAATGGTTTAAAGCAATAACCTTTTGAACAGGTAAGGCTTTGGTTGATACAGCAAAACCATAGCAGTCCTTCCCAGTGGCGTGCCAGTTCTCACTGTCTCAGCACTGTTAGCATTTTTGAGTTATCCCAAGCCTTCTGACACGTTTGGCTATAGTCTAAGGCCAGGTGATAACTTCACTGTGCAAGGAATTTTTTCTGTGTCCCGTGATTCTTAAGTGCATGCAGTCATGAAGTTCCCACTGATTGCTACAGGTTGTCTTGTAATTTCTTGTGCTCCCACTTGCCTTTCAATCAGTGATTATGACTAATCAAGCAAGCCATTTATACATTGTCACATTTTATACAGCTTGTTCACCCATTTTTTTTAGTACCCTGAGGACACAAAGTCTGTTTAAATTCTGTTTTGGCTCCAAAAAAAAAAAAAATAAATGGAAAAGACTTCTCAATTTACTCTAGATTTTTTTTAGAAATATGAAGATGATAAATGTCATCATTTTACCACCTATCCATCTCAAACATGTCAATTCAAGGAGATCCATCACCATCTGTGGATGCCAGGTTAGACAGGTCCTCATATCTCAGTATGGACACAGGTCATATAGACAGTCTGACAGTCAGAAGACACAGGCATCCTTATGTGTGAAGAATTCATTTGTTGTGTTCTAGACAGATAACTTTAGGTGAAATTACAACTCAGCTTAGGACTGAGAGGGAATATTTCTCATGTCAGTAAGATTTAGCAGAAGTTGTTGGGCTTCTTGGCTCTCTCTATGGACGAGGCATGTGGTTGTTTTTTTTTTTTCTGTTTTTTTTTTTTTCTTTTTTTTTCTGTTCCCTGGACTATTAATAAATTCATTTCTTTACAGAGCAAGGATGTTGGTCCGTCTGCCTCACCTGACCTGTCCTGCTCTGCCCTGCACCTCAAGAAGATGGTGGAATGGAGAGAAGGATGGTACAATATCTTTTCCCTTCAATGAGCCATGGGTGCTAATTCAAGACAGATTTTGACACCTATTTAGGTCCATCCTCTTTCAATACAGCATTTAAATTGTGCATAAATTTAACGCATGTAATATTCTTTAAATTAAAACTTCAGCACTTGTAAAGTCTGCCAAAGGTTGTTTTGTTGTTGTTGTTGACAGGAAGAAAAATTGGGATATTCATGCAGCTCTAAAACAAAATTTTATAATTTCAATAAATGCAAAATACTGGTGCCAACAAATAACCATATTTGTAAGTTACAGTTAAGTGTTGGTGAAGACTAAAACACATGATTGCTATTAGTTTGTTGCTGCTGTTAGGAAAGAGTTTGATAAAGCTGAAGTCAGTAATAAAGCCTTTACTCAAATACAATTTAGATTTTATTCTTTTTTTACCAGATACGCTCAGTAGCAGAAATCATCCAACGAGCTTCAGCAATGAGAAGGAGGACTTCTACACAAGAAATTCACTTTTTTTTTTTGTTGTTTCTTGACATTTCTTATTCTGACCTGCTTTGAGGGACCTCTTCTTAGCCTCAGGATTGTTTTTCTTGGTATTTTGCTCATCCAGCAGTGGGAAGTGTTGCTTAAGGCAACATCACCATGGACAACAACACTTGATGCCTCAGAGAGAGAAAAAGGTTATGTATACATGTTAGATAAGAAACCAGCTCTGGTAAGAATTAAATCTTGAATTAAATGAATGCAGTTACTTGAATTAATTGAATGCAGTTACTCTGGAGGACATTTTGCTTTCTCCATCACCAAATTACACTGAGGTTTAGAATACAGTGTGCAATGCAGGGTTGAAAGTACTTAGTCCAATTCCAGTCCTGAAGAAAGGAGGAAAGAGCAGAAAATTTTCACAGTTTCTTTGCACTTTCTTTGTCTTTGAGGTATTGATGCTTGAAATTGTTACTTTGAATTTCCTACCGGAGCACTATTAAATTTATTAATAAAGGAGCCCTGTGACACTGAAAGAATAAAGAAAAATTTAAAAAAAGAAACTGCTGGGTAAGGAGCAAAACAGGAGTAGTTTGCACCATTCTCCAAAACTATACATGGGGCTAAAAATGCTGATATTTTCCCCTCTATTGAACAAATACAGCAAGAGCAGCAACAGGAACAGTCATACTAATACTTCTGGGGTTCTTTTGCACGCTTTTAAGTTCCTAAGTCTTTAGG